GTCGCGCACGCTTGTGCAGTGCGTACAATCACGTCAAAATTTGCAACTTGGTACTGTGTTAACTCGAAAACTTACCGAAAAACAGTGGCTGAAATTTCGTCAACATATTTGCCGCCCATATGGGAAATCGCATACCTAAAATGAATATCGATTTGCACTTACGCTACGACTTAGGGCACTTCAAAAATAGGTAGCGAAGTGGATATTTTGCTTACTGGATAAGCTTGCGAGGCTGAAAATCCGCTGGGATATTCTACTTTCAAGTGCAATCTTAATTCTGCTTAGAGGTGAAATTACCTGGTGGACGTGAGAAATACTCAACTTTACCGAAAAATCAGAAGCTAGTACTTTTTGCAGCGAACGACTGCCCTTGCCAAATATGTAATGAACATTCAGTTCATTTACTTACTTGAATTTTTGGCAAACGATCGCTCGAGCAGCAATTCCACTTTTTACTGGACTGGAAATTTACATTTTTTCAAAATATTTGTATTTTTCATTCTTTCAAAAAGCGAACATTTACCGACAAAACGGCCGGGATTCATGCAAAAAAACTGATAATGTACCTGGAGGTCCGTGTGGCTCCATAATGCGCCACCTTCATCCTCAATCGGCGCCTTTCCTCCTGCATGCCGGAAGGGGCCAAAGCACGGCCAATATGAGCCCAATTGTTAGGCTACAGCGCAGGGATCATTCCTGCTGTTAGCGATCTGCGAATTTAGTGCGAAAAGGCATGATCGCACCGGCAAGCCTGGTGCGTTCCGGTCTGGGTTTAAAATCTTATTGTATTCATAAATGAATTTTTGGAAGCTAACAGAGTTCTATTTTTTATCAGCTGACTAGAAAATTTTATTTTAGCGACTGGTCCTCCACCACCACTTCCACCACGACCTGCGAAGCAGCAGTGCTCGAGCAATAATGGTCAGGAAATCACAAAATCGGATGTCTTAGCGAAGAGCTCAAACAAAGTGCCGGAAATGTCTCATGGCCACATCGAGCCCAAAAATTCGGATTCAAAGCTGTCCACCGAAAGCAGTCCAGAGACAACGGTCACCCCATCGTCACGTTCCTCCATTAGCTCAACACCTGTATATTTTTGTTTGGCTGCTATACAAGCTTTCGAGAATTACAAGTCATATTTTACACTTCGATCGATTTTCATTTTCTTATCCTAATGTTCACTTAAGCTCTTAGTGAAGAAAACTGCGTAGTTTTTTTAGGCTTTTTATCTCTGACTCTTGTTCGTTGTCCGGTAGCGCGCACACTTTAGTTTCGAAGTCCGTCAGCTCGATAATTTTCAATTTCTAACCGTACGGTGGCTTCATCTGTTAGTGGAGCGGGCATCGCTTCCTCCACAGCTTGCATTTTGCCCCTTTAGAAACGATATTTCGCTCACCATTCAACTTTTAAATTTTCATAATGTGAAACACTGACAGGCTTGAATCCTTGCCTGTCTGAGCAAGCTTTATATACTTGTTTTTTATTAAAGTGATGGAATTACAGAAACGTGACCGATCCTTTTGATCTAATTTTTAATATAATTTTTCATAAACGATATGTGCGAGAAAGCACAGTGGCGAAATGAAACCTTTGGAAATACGCATCTGCTTGTCTGATTACGCTTTTAGATAATTTTAAAACTAAGAAAGCTAAACTGAAAAGCTCAGACTTTTTCGAGTATGCAGAAGTCAACAGGTCATATCATCCTTCAGCTCTCTCTGTTTCCTGACCCACAGTTCACGCCAAATTCAAACTATACAAATGTCGTATTTTGATAAAAGATTGCAAACTAATATGTTATGATTGTTTTGCTCATGATCGGACACAATTTGCAGAAAACAAGTGTTCAACAGCAGCGACAGCCACCTGATAGTTTGTCAATCGATCGCTCGTCATTATCGCAAATCTCTTCCGGTTCT